AATGATAGATAGATAGATAGATAGATAGATAGATAGATAGATAGATAGATAGATAGATAGATAGATAGATAGGGAATCAATGTGAGCTTTTAAAATATGTAAATTAAAATATAGATACAGCTACATATTATTCCAGTAGGTGGCGATATGCAACAAAGGTAGTCAATCCGCCACAAAAAAGAAGAAGAACATTGGGACGTCACTGATTCTGACCAATAAAAGTCAAAAACACGTCTGAGCTCCGCCCCCATATTTATTCCAGAATTCGAAATAAGCATATTCAAAAGATGATCAAATAATTTAGCAAGATATACAGTATAATTAGTTGCATTACAGTGGATAGAAGATGTTAGACCAGATAGAGTAGTTGTGTTCAGACTCTATGTCAGCGCTAAATAGTTTGGTTTCATATAAATCCATTAGAGAAGACATTTTAAATGATATATATATATATATGACATTGAAATCTCTAAATAGCATGAGAATAGATGTCAAATTTTGTTGGATACCGGCTCACACAGGAATCAATCGAAATGAAATAGCAGATCAGTTAGCAAAAAAGGCAACCACAAAAAGGATATCGAGATATTCAAAAAGAGTGGCAGAAGAAGTGGGACATAGCTGATACAGGAAGATTTTATTATAAAATTAATTCATCAGTTAAAGAAGTATACCATTTTGGAAGATGTATAGGAAAGATGAGGTGATTTTAAATAGATTACAATTTGGGCACACAGGACTAAATGCATCACTATACAAAATGGGTAAACATATTACAGGTAAATGTGCTTTTTGTGGGCTAATAGAAACCGTTGAACATGTAATATTAAAATGTCGGAAATATAATATAGAGAGAATTAAAGTGATAAAGAACTTAAAAGGTAATAATAAAGAAAAAAAGAAGATACATTGGATATTCGGAAAAGGATTAAAAGAAGGTATTAATCAAAGAATAGTAATGAAATATATAGTAGAAACAGGATTAAACAAACGAATTTGATTGTTAATTAAATAAATAAATAAAGCAAAGAAATAGGGGAACACACAAGCTGTTTTTTTTTTGGCATGGGAGCTGAACACGCAGCAGCCAGAAATACAGCTTGGGTGAACCCGAAAAAAAATTAACAATAAAATAAAATATTTTAAAATATGAATAGAGACGGGACTATTATCCATGTATGTATGTAAACAGTTGGTGGCGGTATGTGCCTACTGTGCGGAATACACCAACAATTCCAAAGAAGAAGAAGGAGCTCCACCCCCTTTGTTATTCAACATGGCGGTGTCCCGATTACCACCAGCGGCTCTGAGTCTCAAACAGGTAAAAAACAAAGCTGTCAAAAACAGGTGGACAGAGCGCAACTGAACGCAGGGTTTTAAAAGCTTGACGACGCAGCGGATAAAGACGTTTTGTCTGTTGCGTTAATGCACAGGCCAACAACTGAGAACGCGCCGTGTGTGTATGGCCACATGTAGATGTTGTAGTCAAGCGTGTGTTCATGTGGTGTTGTGGTCAGTTTTTGCAGAGACAGAAGGTTCTGGGGGTTTACAGAGACCTGCTCCGATCCATCCGCAAAATACCGATCGAGTCTGATCGCAGATACTTGAGAGACTGGGCCAGAGAAGAGTTCAAGCGGAACAAGAGTGAAACAGACCAGGTGGGCTCTTCTTGTTCAGCAATTTAGAAATGTAGCATTAAATAACTTGCTCACCAACGGCTCCTCTGCAGTGAATGGGTGCCGTCGGAATGAGAGTCCAAACCGCTGATTAAAACATCACACTTTTCACTGGAGGAAGCCTTATTGTGGAGAATGGACTCTATTTTAGCCGGAAGCAGTGATTTGAACGTCTTGATGGATTTGTTTTATATGAACACGCAGATTTTGGCTTCACAAGATGTTAATTGATGGACTGGAGTGGTGTGTGGATTATTGTGATGTTTTTATCAGCTGTTCGGACTCTCATTCTGACGGCACCCGTTCACTGCAGAGCATCCGTTGGTGAACGAAAACATTTTGGATGGCCTGAGTACATTTTCAGCAAATGTTAATTTTTTTGGTGAACTATTCCTTTAACTGCTTAATTAGACACACCCTCCTCCCAAGACCCAGCACTCCAAAGATGTGTACATGCATGAAGGAAAAAATAATGACCTTCAAATTAGGTAGGGTGACCATACGTGCCATTTTCCCAGGACGCGTCCTGGCCAGGATTTCAATATTGCCTAAAATATCTAGGTTTTGGCTTTGTTTGCGCGTGCAGACCGATCGGTGTATGACATCAAAATACCTCGAGAGTAGGGCTGCACGATAAATCGCATGCGATATTTAATGCACATCTTGTCAGAAAGCCGGTTCTGTAATCAGCGGTAAATCTCCATCACGTGCGTGCTTTCACATTGAGCCGCATTAACTACACAGAGCCGTTGTTCACTGACAAGCTGCGCAACACCACGTTCATATTCGTGCGATTTTTTTGTGCATCTCGTCAGTGAACAACGGCTCTGTGTAGTTAATGCGGCTCAATGTGAAAGCACGCACGTGATGGAGATTTACTACTAATCACAGAACCGGCTTTACTGATGAGATGCGCATGACAATCGCATGCGATTAATTGCACAGCCCTACTTCAAATATAATAGCAGAGAACTTGAACAGTGAACTCCGCTTAAAAGTGCAGTCACATTTGAGTTTTTGCAAGCAAAGTCCAGTCATTTCAACAGGATTTTCACGCTTTGTCACAGTGAATGTCTGGCAGTCTGAGTCCTCCTTACAATGGTCCCCATTTACATGCATTGTACATTTTGTATGGTTTTCCTCCTCAGGATGTGATTCGCATGATGATCACTCAAGCGCACAATCATCTGGAGGATTTGAGAAGATCTCTCGCGTTGGCTGGATGCTAGAACGTCGACGTGTTCACCATTTATTAAAAGGATAGTTCAGCCAGAAATTACAATTGTCATCAGTCACCCTAATGTCGTTTCAGACACACAAAACTTTCATTCATCTGACTTTTCATTCATCGAAGTCGTGGGAAGGGGAAGTCGTGGCCTAATGGTTAGAGTCGGACTCGTAACCCAAAGGTTGCGGGTTCGAGTCTCGTACCGGCAGGGATTGTAGGTGGGGGGAGTGAATGTACAGCGCTCTCTCCCACCTTCAATACCACGACTGAGGTGCCCTTGAGCAAGGCACCGAACACCCAACTGCTCCCCGGGCGCCGCAGCAAAAAATGGTTGTCCACTCCTCCGGGTGGGTGTGTGTGTGTGTGTTTACTGCTGTGTGTGTGCATTTTGGATGGGATAAATGCAGAGCACTAATTCCGAGTATGAGTCACCATACTTGGCCACATCTCACGTCACTTTCAAGTACAAGTGAAGATGTTTGGAATAATCTCCGTTTGTCCCTCCATTACACACAAGTCCACACAACCAAAATGTTCATGCTTTAACAAGTACAAAATGACCTCTATGTGAATCAAGTGGTTTAATCCAAGTCTTCTGAAGAGGCACAATCCACTTTATATGATGAACAGATTTAATTTAGGCTTTCATTTGCATATAAACATTGATCAACTCGCATGCATAGAGGGCATGAAATATGGTAAACAAAAACTAAGGTCTCTTTTTACATGAGAACAAACCTCATTGGTTCTCATGCATCAATGAAGCAGTTTGAGCTTTCGTTTATCATATTTGTTGTGCTCTGTGTTGATCGATGTTTATATGTGAATAAAAGCCTAAATTAAATATTTTCAAAGCAAAGTATAACAGCATCGTGTCTCTTTGGAAAACTGTCTTGTCTGTGTTAATGTGTCAGTGTTATGGGTGATTGGATTTTAAATTGAGGGACAGAAATCTCAGGTTTCATTAAAATATCTTCATTTGTGTTTTTGAAGATGAACACAAGTCTTATGGGCTTGGAACGACATGAGTGTGAGTAACTGATGACAATTTTCATTTTTGGGTGAACTGTCCCTTTAAAAAAAAAAGTACACTAATGTGAAAGAAAATCGGACATTTTATTGTGTGTATATATATTTATAATGCATGAGTGCTCATTCTTTTACTTTGCCAAATATTAATAAAAGCCAAATACATTAACTTCTCTGAGTCATAATTACTGTGTAGTTGAAATATCACAATGTCAGAACAAATGCACCTGTGGCTGTGACATCTGCATATAGTTTCTGCATTATTGTTCCAGCAAACGCTACATTATGAATACCAATAAACGTTCCACACAGTACTTCTTATTTCATAACTGCATTTGTTGATGGAAAATGTGCAAAATGTTAGCCATTGTTCTCTTGTATTTAAAGTACTCGAGGGCAAGTAATGGACTTACTAGTGCATAAATATGTAATATATTATCAAACTATAATAACGAAACAGTTTATATATGAAACAATACAAATTTCACTGTTGTGTAAAGTGCATATAAAGACAAAAACTGGCCTTTATGGCCGATCAAATAACAAAACTTTCCAACCAGTGAACACTAGATGGATTCTTTTTTTCACAAATTTACACAGATGTAGTTTATTAAACATTAATTTGTGACAGATCACACAGCTGCATGACAGTAAACAATAATGTTCCCTTTGAAGCAGCTGTAAACAATTATTCGAGTAGTCATACATGTATATAAAAAACAAAACATGGTCATTACATATCAGTTGTTAACATTTGTCAAGACATGCATCAAAAACAATTTGATTTCATAGTTCATCATCAATAGCCACTGGCAAAGACATCAGCGTAACTTTAAACAGCAGTTTGAAATCATAGTGACCATTATTTTGACTTTTTGATCATTTCAACAGTACTTACAACAATCCACACATCAGTCTTGATGGAGCAGTGTGAGGTTAAAAGAGTTGCTCAAGCGCACAGTGGTGATCAAATGATCCAACATTTGTGAATATTTAAAGTCAATACGAAATGACATTCATGTTTAATTGGATGCTGGACAGTGGTTTATTTCGACATCACAGTTCAGTATATTTCATTGATTTTAAAGGGATAGTTAACCCAAAAATGAAAATGTGATGTTTATCTGGAGGTGATTGGGAATCACGGCTTTGAGTCAAAAAAACACAAACAAAATCAAATTAAACCCTGCGGCTCGTGACGATACATTGATGTGTAAAGACACGAAACAATCGGTCTGTGCAAGAAACTGAACAGTATTTATATCATTTTTTTACCTCTTATCCACCGTAATGTCCAACTGTCCTGAGCGCGTTCTCAACAGCCGGCGCGTGACGTCAAATAAATACGGTCGGGCAAAAAATTCCACGTTGTCTGATGATATATCAAAATCGATTTCCATTGTGATGACCTGAACTTCTAAATATCTTTAGATCATCGCAGTGCCAGTGAACATGTCCACAATCTCTCTGCACTGTGTAAATAATGAGTGACGTATACGCGCAACAGATCGCTTCCGCACATGCGTCTACTACCATAGATATGCATAGATTCCCTATTCGACCACTCCAGATACGTTGACGCATCCGCCATTTTGGAACGTATCGGCCCATAGAAACAGTCACTAATGAGGCATCTACTTATATCTATGTCTACTATGCCAGAGCACGTACACGCGTCGGATGTTGTGAATGCGCTCAGACATTGCGGTGGATAAGAGGTAAAAAATGATATAAATACTGTTCAGTTTCTTGCACAGAGCGATCGTTTCGTGTTTTAAGACCTCAATGTATCGTCACAAGCCGCAGTGTTTAATTTGGTTTTGTTTGTGTATGTTTTTTTGACTCTCAAAACCGTGATTCCCATTCACTTCCATTATATGACTGACAGACTGCAACGGTTTGAGTTAAAAATCTTCGTTTGTGTTCTACTGAAGAAACAAAGTCACCTACCAGGATGCCCTGGGGGTAAGCAGATAAACATCAAATTTTTATTTTTGGGTGAACTATCCCTTTAACCTCTACACACCTAGACTCCACAGAGTCTTTCCCTGCCCATGTGTTCTGAATTTTGTTAAATGAATGATTAAAAACGGTTAAATTAGATTACTTATCTACCAAATGAAACATTCACACATGTGAATCTGTTACAAACACTTATTACATTGTGAGTTCTTAAGACTTCAACTACAGACTACATCAAAGTCCTCAATTAAACATCACAGGTTAAGACATTTCATCTTGTGCAATAAAGTCCATATACAAAAACATTACAAAATAAACTAATACTTGCTTATATCAGTGTTTGACAAATAAAAGTAACAAAATCCATCACAGCAGTGTTCACTGGTTTTATATGATCTGCCAAATCTCCAAAGTACTGGCATGATTTAGTCACTTTCACCAAATTTGTGTACTAGTACTGGAGTAGCTGTGTTCATGCCTTATTCTTAATGCTTTATATTAAGAATACACATTATACAGTATATGTTACATTTTTGTCCTTTGAATTTGCTTTCACAAAACAGACTTATCTTTGTACTGCATTATTAAACCTGGAGTTTGAACAGATCTCTGGCAGTGGTGGTTTGTCTTGATGTTACGTCTGTAAAGCCAGACACATAACCCACGCAAGCGTGCAAATGCAGACAAATTCTTGAACAGGGCTCTGACAGCATGCAGTCCCGCTGCACATAAAGTGCATTCTTGTGTTTCTCTGGCAGCAACAAACCTCAGTTTATGCTAGCTCTTCCTGCAACAGCGCTAAGAATGCGTTTGCCCTCCATTATGAATTGTGTTATGGCAAATGAAATCAAACTTGTGTAGCTTAAGTTAAAGTACTTGCGAAGAGTATGTTTCAGCTCCACATCTGTTTAGATGCTACTTCTCCTGACGCTTACTACTGCAGTGTTATCTTCATGTGTTAGCTGCTCTATTGAACTTCACTAATTCATCCGGACGTTACAGTGTCTGCTACACCAGTGGTCTCTTATGTACTAGCTCTCCTCCTGTTTGTTAGTTCTCAGCAGTTGGAGTTCATCCTCAAGGTAGCTTATTCTGTCCAGCAGAGTGGCTCTGTCGGCCTGGGCTCTCTGGTTGGCCTGCCAGCGTGCTTCTTCAATCTTCCTTTCATACCAGCGCTCCATCTGCAGAGTCACTGCCTCGAAAAAGTACTGCGTAACCTCCAGCGCGTGCATATTTTCCCGCTCCTGGGCGAAGGAAGCCTCAGCAGTGTGGTGATCTCCTAAACTCGTCATGGTTTGAGTGTTGTGTTTGGTCTTTGCTCTTTGTTGGGTGCATCTTTTGAGGTTCCTGTGCTCGCAGCACTGATCGGGGACAGGTCTCAGCTCCAGAGGCTCATCTTGCGCTTGGTGAGGGTCACTACAGGCCCGGGATCGTTGCTTAGGTCGGACTATACAAGGAGACTGGGGTGCAGATTGATTCTGTGCTGACTGCTTATCTGAAAAGACAGAACAGCTTAAGAAGGTTTGCAACATAACAACTGCAGCTGGTGCTGGTGTCGTTGTGTAAGTAATATTAATCTTGATACCATGGACTGACATTATTATAAAATAGCTTCGCTACTTAATTGCAACATAGTTTTTAGCAATGAGGTAACGTCGCACACAATACACACACATACTCTCTCTAATTAAAAGAAATGTTATAATTTGGAGAACTTTAGCATTTGGTCACTTGCTCAGCAATGGATCCTCTGAAGTGAATGGGTGCCGTCAAAATGAGAGTCCAAACAGCTGATAAAAACATCACAATAATCCACAAGTAATCCACACCACTCCAGTCCATCAGTTAACATCTTGTGAAGCAAAAAGCTGTGTTAGTAAGAAACAAATCTATCATTAAGACGTTTTATCCAGCTAAAATATGAGCACTCTATCTAAAATATTGCCGTCTCCAGTAAAAAGTCACCTCATCTGGATCAGGAGAGAAATATGCACAGATCAAGTGCTGTTTACAAGCCAAAACATTCAATAAATATGTGTGTGGATTTTGATGTGAGAGACTACAGGGGATGGACTTTTTCACTGGAGGAAGGGTTATTATGGACTTAAAACCTTCTTGATGGATTTGTTAATTG